CCGGGGTGCTGGCACTGTGAGGCAAGAGGAGCTGTGTGCTGCTGCTTGTGCAAGAATTCCATTGTCAGGGATTGATTGTTGCGTTTTTCCATTGCACAACGCGGGGTGAAGAGAGAAGGAAGGGTGGGGGACGGACACACGGACGTGGCAGAATGACTGCTGGGAGGTTTTTAATGAGATTTAACTAATTAACTCGTCACACGGCTCTTTGTTCAATTCGGTTTCTTTTTTTTTTTTAATTAAAAGTTTCTAAAATAATGGTTTTTTTTAAAAAAAAAAATTTAAACCACGTTCCAGATATGTTAGGTGAAATTTCCTTTTAATATTAGAGAGGGGTAGAATGGAGTAATAACAGCTGGTTAATAGGATTTGAATCTTTTCAATAATAATTTAAACATTTGAGAGAAACATTCTATGTGTTTTGGGGTTTCCAGAACAAAATCCAGCATAAATCTGGTGTAAATTGGATTTAAATCAGTGAAAATCAGGGGATTTGTCTCCCTTCATCTTTATCCTTTCCCCCTACTTTCTGGATGGAATTTCACATGAAATTTCCTTTTTTAATTTTTTTTTTTTTTTTTTTGCAAGCACTGATGTTTCACAGCTTCCAATGGGAGAGAAAACCCAATTTGGAAAGGCAGGCTTTGATTTGGGGCTCTAAACTTCCTCTGGATCCCAAATATTCCTGTTTTTACATTTAAAAACTTCCTGCAGAGCTGTTTTCCACATGGGAAAGCATCAAAAATAATCAGGGAATTCTCCAAGGTGTCCTGAATCCATTTCTCCATCGTTTCTGCCACTCTTTAACCTCAGAACCACATCCCCAAAACCTGATTTGAACGGGGTTCTGTTGGTTCTGTTGGTTCTGTTTTCATCTCATGAATCCTGGACTGGGGATTTGGATTGGGATTGGGGATTGGGATTGGGATTGGAGATTGGGGTTGGGATTGGAGATTGGGGTTGGGGAATATTCTTGGAGAAGCAGGAGGGAATCCACGCTGAGCAATTCAATTCCTCAAGAGCACCTTGATGGCTCCAATTCCCTGGGATCCTGCCAGGCTCTGGAAAACAAGGAAAGAAGGAAGAAAGATCCTCCCTGGATGGGAAAATCCAGAGTGGGAAGGACAGAGATCATCCCTAAAAGGGAAAATCCAGAGTGGGAAGGACAGAGATCATCCCTAGAAGGGAAAATCCAGAGTGGGAAGGACAGAGATCATCCCTAGAAGGGAAAATCCAGAGTGGGAAGGACAGAGATCATCCCTAAATGGGAAAATCCAGAGTGGGAAGGACGGAGATCATCCCTAAATGGGAAAATCCAGAGTGGGAAGGACGGAGATCATCCCTAAATGGGAAAATCCAGAGTGGGAAGGACAGAAATCATCCCTAAATGGGAAAATCCAGAGTGGGAAGGACAGAGATCATCCCTAGGAGGGAAAATCCAGAGTGGGAAGGACAGACATCATCCCTAGGAGGGAAAATCCAGAGTGGGAAGGACAGAGATCCTCCCTAGGAGGGAAAATCCAGAGTGGGGAGGACAGAAATCATCCCTAAATATGAAAATCCAGAGTGGGAAGGACAGAGATCATCCCTAAATGGGAAAATCCAGCGTGGGAAGGACATCCTGGAGTCCCTGGTTATTTCCCTGGAAACGATGACTCTGATAATGAGGGGAAAAAAGTCGAGGTGACCACGCCAGCAGCGCTTAAACCCAGCTTAACTCCGCTGTAAGCTCACCTTAACCCGTTTGTCCAGTTTCTTCACTTCCTATTATTCCCTGGATCATGCTTTGAATAATTTCCATGATCTCTTCCTCAAGTCCTGCCCCTTTTGATGTCATCGATTCCATCCATAAAGGCTGGACAGCTCCAGGGGCCCTGCACTCCCAAATCCCCCAGCTTTGGGCCAGGACTTGCCTTCAGCTCAGCTTTAAGCCCAGGGCTGGGTTTAGTGGATTCTCTGCACGCTCAGAGATCAGAATTTCTGTCAAGGTACACTGGGGGGATGGGGCTGTAATTTGGTTTTAATTCCGTTTTTATTGTATTATAAAATGTATTTTTATATTTGTAGCTATCAGTGTTGGGCTGTGCTGTTTTCTGGATTGTTTCTGAATTATTTGGCTTCTTTATATTTTCTTTTTTTCCTTCTATTCGTTTTAACAACGCAGATTTAAATGGGATGAATTCACCATAAACTTCAAATCCCACACAGAAGTGAAAACTGAATTATGTCTGAAAACCAGGCTTTGTCTGGGGGTTTTTAGAGGCAAAATTAGAGATTAAAAAAAAAAATCTGCGTTTGATAAATTCTTTTAGCATTGACATTGGGTAATTATTAATTTTATTCCACATTTCCTCATGGGCAAGAAGCAGATTCTTTTAGCATTCATTTTGGGTAATTACTCCTTTTATTCCACATTTTCCCATAAACAAGGAGTAGATTATTTTAGCATTGACTTTGAGTAATAATTCATTTTACTCCACATTTCCTCATGAGCAAGAAGTCGATTCTTTTAGCATTAAATTTGTGTCATTATTAATTTTATTCCCCATTTCCTCATGAGTAAGAAGCAGATTCTTCTAGCATTCCTTTGGGGTAATTATTAATTTTATTCCACGTTTCCTCATGAGCAACAAGTAGATTATTTTAGGATTTTATTTTGAGTCATTATCCCTTCTCTTCCACATTTCCTCATGAGCAAGAAGCAGATTATTTTAGCATTAAATTTGGGCAATTATTCCATTTATTCCACATTTCCTCACGGATAAAGCTTTAATTTCATCAGCACAGAACCTCTCCCAACAACTCTTTAGTTTCTTTTGCTCTCCTCAATTTCAAACTCTATCCCTCTATCCCTAATTTATTTTTTTTTAATTTTTTTTTTTTAAATTTGGAGCGAAGGTTGTCCCAAAGTTTGGAGTCAGTGAACTTCTCTGGGTGATGTAATGGGCCGGGTGATTCACGGGATATTCACACATTCACACCTTCCTCCCTGTCATGCTCATGGAAATGTGCCAGCGTCACTCCAGTGTCCCCAAATGCCACCAGAGCCAGTTCTCCACGCTCAGAAAGGCTGGGATTATCCCTGGAGGAAAAAAAAAAAAAATCTGGATTTTTATTTGTTTTCAATCGGCGCTTTTGAGTGATTTTCAGTTTCTGTGCTGCCTTTTCGCTGCTGTAAAATGCAAAGAATTAAATTCCTATTTACGTGGCAAAATTAATAACATTAATTAATATTTTGGTGGTCTTCAGAAACACCCCGAGAGCATTTTATTTCCAGTGGTCTCTACAATTTTAGAATTCAATTTTAGCATTAAATTCTGTATCCACACCCTAATTTATCTCATCCCCTCTGTGCTTCCCACGGAGGTGTTTTGCTCCATTTCCATCCCAAAATTCCTGCCTGCACCTCCTGTATTTCCTCTTGGAGGAGAGTTCAGAGATAAATTCACCCTGTTTATTCTGCAGAATGAGATCCTACAGCAAAAATCAAACCCAGGTTCTAATCCAACAGTTGGAAGGTGAATTTTTTCCTGATTCTTTGACATAAGGATGAAGCCGTAGTGGTGGTTTATGAGAAATAAAAATAATATTTAAATTAATAATTTATTAACTAATTACTTTGTTACATTAAGTATTTAATAAACAAGAATGTAATATTTAAGAAATATTCCTCCAATTGTGAACCATAAATCTCTCTGGATCCACAAGGAGTTGACACTTCAGGATTTTAAACCCTGCTCCTTGGAGTTCTTGGAAAGAAGAAAATTCCTGACTTTTTTTGACCTCAAACTTCCCAGGATGAATCCCAAATCCAAACTGGCTGAGAAATCCTATGGAAGTGTGGGAAACACCTCCCAGTTCCTCAGCAGCAGCAGAACTGGAGCTCTTTGTTCCTTCCTGGATGTGGATTTTGGGGATCTCCATGGATTCAGATCCTTGGTGCTTTTATTTTTGGGGTTTTCCTAATTAAAAATTCATTTGGGGCCTGCTTGGAAAAGGTCTCCTTGGAAGTGGCAGCTTTGGAAAAGAAGTGTTTGGAAAATGTCTCCTTGGAAAAGTCTCTTTGGAAAAGGCATTTTTGGAAAAATCCTGTTTGGAAAAGGCTTCTTTGGAAAAAAAAAAAAAACCCTTTGGAAAAGACTTCTTTGGAGGATGTCCATTTGGAAAAAGTGTGTTTGGAAAAGCCCATTTGGGGAAAAACCTGTTTGGAAAAGCTTATGTGGAAAAGGAATTTTTGGAAAAGGCTTCTTGAGGAAAGGCCTGTTTGGGAGAGACCTCGTTGGAAAAGGATTCTTTGGGAAAGGCTAATTTTTGAAAAAGGCTTCTTGGGAAAGATTTCTTTGGAAAAAGCATTTTTGAAAAAGGCTTCTTGGGAAAAGGCCTTTGTGGAAACAGCTTTTTTAGGAAAGGCCTGTTTGGGAAAGGCCCATTTTGGAAAAGGCCTTGTTGGAAAAGGTTTCTTTGGGAATGGCTTTTTTAGGAAAGGCCCGTTTGGGAATGGCTGTGTGGAAAATGTTTCTTTGGAAAATGTTTCTTTGCAAAACACCTTTTTGGAAAAGGCCCATTTGGGAAAGGCCCGTTTGGGAAAGGTTTCTTTGGGAAATCATGGTTGGAAAAGGTTTCTCTGGAAAATCGTGGTTGGAAAAGGTTTCTTTGGGAAAGGCCCGTTTGGGAAAGGTTTCTTTGGGAAATCATGGTTGGAAAAGGTTTCTTTGGGAAAGGTTTCTTTGGAAAAGGCCCATTTGGAAAGATTTCTCTGGAAAATCGTGGTTGGGAAAGGTTTCTTTGGGAAAGGCCTGTTTGGGAAAGGTTTCTCTGGAAAATCGTGTTTGGAAAAGGTTTCTTTGGGAAAGGCCCATTTGGGAAAGGCCCATTTGGGAAAGGTTTCTCTGGAAAATCATTTTTGGAAAAGGCTTCTTTGGAAAACGCCTTTTTGAAAAACCCTTCCCCTCGAATTAACAAGTTTTTCCCTCTTTATTTGCCAGGAAGACACTTAGAGGATGGAACTTCCAGGAGCAGAAGCAGCGAGGCAGGAGGGGCTGATGGAATTCTACGGCTCCTTCCAGGAGCTGTTTGAGTTTTTCTGCAGGAACACCACGATCCACGGCACCGTGCGCCTGGTGTGCTCGGGCGGCGCGCGCTCCAGGAGGGCTTTCTGGACTCTGCTGCTGCTGGCCAGCCTGGCCATGCTCTACTGGCAGTTTGCCCTCATGTTCAGCCAGTTCTGGGCCTACCCCGTGGTGCTCACCATGTCCATGCACTCCGAGCCCAAAATGTTCCCGGCCGTCACCGTCTGCAACCTGGATCCTTACAGGTAAACGTGGCCGCCATGGCCAGCACGCCCAGCTCCAGGTATTGGCAGGGTTGAGTGATTTAGTGTTGATAGTAGTTGTTAATTGAGTTAATAATTTAATTAATTATGTGAATATGAAGTTTTCAATTAGTTTTTGGTGGTGTTAAATGTTTTCGGTTGAATTGATGTAATGATATATAAATATGCCATATAATTATAAATATATGGTATCAGTTAGATATGCATATAAACCTATCTGATATAGAAATATGTAATTATAAATAGATATGTAATATACTATATATAATACAATACATTAACATGTAATATATTAATGAAATTGATACTTTAAATCATTAATATAATATAACATAATATACTATAATATAACATAATATAACATAATATAACATAATATACTATAATATACTATAATATAACATAATATAACATAATATAACATAATATAACATAATATAATATTACTGTAATATATAATATATATAAACAGATAATATGAATAACACAAACATATAAATTATAGAAATAGAAATATAATACAAATTTAAATATATAATATAAAAAATATATAGAATGTAAATATATAAGTATAAATTAATGCATATGAAATAATTTCTATTAAATAAATAAATTAATATTAAATTAACGTTATTTCCATAAATAAGAACTCTAATAAACTGGGTGCTGGGAATGAACAAAATCAATGCAGATTTCTGGATTTTTAAGCCCTTTGTTGGATTTTCCCAAAAATTGCTGCAGGTTCGAGCTGGTGAGGGAACATCTGGAGCAGCTGGACAGGATGGCAGAGGAGTCCCTGACCTTTCTGTACGGCAGCAGCTCCTCCTCAGCACGCTGGTTCCGTGGGAAGGAGCACAATGGGAACGGGAATGGGAATGGGAACCTCAGCAGCTCCGGATTCCAGCTCAGCCACAACTTCTCCCTGGTCAGGATGGCCGAGCTCAGGGCAGGGAGGAGACGTTCCAGCGTGGGATTCCGACTGGTGAGGGGTCAGGGACACGGGAATGGGGAAGGCAGGGGGGTTCACCCCAAAATTCCTGAGGATTGGGGACTGGGATTTGCCTCAAAATACCTGGGGATTTGGGATTGGCCCCAAAATCTGTGAGAATGGGGATTCACACCAAAATTCCTGAGTGGGAATGGGGATTCACCCTAAAATGCCTGGAATGGGATTCATCCCAAAATACCTGGGGATTTGGGATTGGCCCCAAAATCTGTGAGAATGGGGATTCACACCAAAATTCCTGAGTGGGAATGGGGATGGGGATTCACCCCAAAATGCCTGGAATGGGATTCATCCCAAAATACCTGGGGATTTGGGATTGGCCCCAAAATCTGTGAGAATGGGGATTCACCCCAAAATTCCTGAGTGGGAATGGGGATGAGGATTCACCCCAAAATGCCTGGGTTTGGGATTTATCCCAAAATTCCTGGCTGAGATTCAACCTAAAATTCCTGGAGATTTGGGTTCACTCCAAAATGCCTGGGAATGGGGATTCACACCAAAATTCCTGGGGACTGAGGATGGGGATTCACCTCAAAATGCCTGGAATGGGATTCACCTCAAAATGCCTGGGAATGAGATTTACCTCAGAATTCCTGGGTGGGGATTCACCCCAACATGCTTGGGATTGAGATTTACCCCAAAATTCCTGGGGACTGGGATTCGCCCCAAAATTCCTGGAAATGGGATGGGGATTCACCCCGAAATGCCTGGAATGGGATTCACCCCAGAATTCCTGGATGGGGATGAGGATTCATCCCAAAATACCTGGAGTACCCTGTCCTGGAGTCTCTCACCAGCAATTCTGGGGTGACTTTTGTCCCTTGCCCTGTCCTGGAGTCCTTCAGCAATTTTGGGGTGATTTTTGTCCCCCCAGCCCTTTCTCCCTTCCCCTGAGTAAGAACAAAGAAATTCCCTCTGGGCTCTGCTCACAAATTCACAAGCTGGAGAGAATTCCCAACTTTTTAATCCCAAACTCCTCCCTCCTTTTTCCTCTTCCCCTGACATTCAGCATCTCCAAGGATCAAATCCCTGCAATAATCCGAATTTTTCCCTTTGGTGTGAAAACAACAATTCCCCTCCTTGCTGTGCCCACTTTTTCCCTGCCGTGCTGATTTTTTTTTTTTTTTCCCCCTGTTTCCCAGTGCAATTCCACAGGTGGGAATTGCTTCTACAAGACTTATTCCTCGGGCCTGGATGCCATCCTGGAGTGGTACAGGTTCCATTACATGAACATCATGGCCCAGCTGCCCTGGGTCATCAACATCTCCCAGCACGAGGAGCACGTGGAGGACATGGTTTACTCCTGCCAGTACGATGGGGAGCCCTGCAGGCCCAGGTGAGTGGAAATCAGAATTTCCAGGGAATTAGCAGCTCATTCCCAACGTCCCAAACACCTCCAGATTCACATCAGGGTGTAGTCAAGATCAGAATTAAAACCCCATCAAATCTCCCTTGATTTTTCAGTGATTATTCACTACCCAGTTTTTGGGAGCTCTTGCACTTTCAGCAGCTCATTCCCAATTTCCCCAGCACATAACAAATTAAATTAAAATGTCTCTACACATAATTAAAACCCCATCAAATCTCCCTTGATTTTTCAGTGATTATTCACTACCCAGTTTTTGGGAGCTCTTGCACTTTCAGCAGCTCATTCCCAATATCCCAAACACCTCCAGATTCTCATTAAGGTGTTGTCAACCTCAGAATTAAAACCCCATTAATTCTCCCTTGATTTTCCAGTGATTTTATTCACTTCCACCACCCAGTTTTTGGGAGCTGCTGCACTTTTAGCAGCTCATTTCTCTTTTCCCAAACACATTCAGCTTTGAATTAAAGTAATAAATTAAATAATTAAAACCCCATCAAATCTTTCTTGATTTCCCAGTGATTTTATTCACTTCCACTGCCCAGTTCTTGGGAGCTGCTGCACTTTCAGCAGCTCCTTCCCAATTTCCATAACACATCCTAATTTAAATTAAAATGTCTCTACTCATAATTAAAACCCCATCAAATCTTTGTTGATTTTCCCAGTGATTTTATTCACTTCCACCACCCAGTTTTTGGCAGCTTCCACACTTTTAACAGCTCATTCCTCTTTTCCCAAACACTTCCCAATTTAAATTAAATCGTTTAAATTCATACTAGTAATTCACACTCAAAATTAAGATTCATACTCATAATTCACACTCAAAATTAAAGCCCCATCGAATCTCTCTTGATTTTCCAGTGATTTTTGTTCACTTCCATTTTTGGGAGCTGCCACACTTTTAACAGCTCGTCCCTCTTTTCCCAAACACATCCCAAATGAAATGAAATAATTCAAAGTAAATAATTTAAATTCACACTCAGAATGAAAACCCCATCAAATCTTTGTTGATTTTTCCAGTGATTTTGTTCACTTCCACCACCCAGTTTTTGGGATCTGCTACACTTTTAACAGCAAAGGGACAGATCCCTTCTGGACAGCCACAAAACCAGGAATTCCTTATGGTGAGTGAGCTGCCAAAATGGGGTAAAAGAGCTAAAATTCGGTTAATTAATTAAATATGTCTTCAGAGCAGATTTTGTGACTTTTGGCCTGGTGGCACAAATTTTTGGCAGCCACGCCAGCCACATCTGGGCTTCAGAAAGCAGAATATTCTTTTTGGTTTTGAGCAGAATATTCTTGCAGTCTTTATTGCAGAATATTATTGGGGTATATTTATTATTCATTCTTGATTATTTATTAGTTTATTAATCTTTATTTATTTGTTAGTTATTATTTATTGTTTGTGGGAGTATCTAAGGGTTAAAGTGGCTCTTCAGGGCTCCAAAATGAGAGATCCCAGAATCCCAATCTGAGCTCCAAACCCAAAACCGAGGGCTTTGCCCAAGGCTCAGAGTTACAGA